TGGGTCCAGATTGGACTTGCCTGTGTAACTTGAAACCCAACTAACTTGTATCCGAATAATTTGAAGTACTATAGCAATCGGAAATGTGTGTTTTTTTTTTTTTTTTTTTTTTTAAGTTATGCATTCATCTTTTTTTATTATGTAGAAAATTTCCAAATTATCCTTACTTTAACAAGTCTTTCTAGAAACATCCATTTTGGAGGTTACATTTTAGAACATTTGATTTGAAAACATGTAATTTCAAAATAGCTATTTTAGATTTTTGTCTTTCTAAAATAAATAATTTAGAACGTATCATTATAAAAAATATTTATCTAGAATACTCAATATTAAATAATATTTTTTTCAAAACACCCATTCCAAATCAACATCATGAATTGATTGTTCTAAACAAATAATGATCTAGATTGGTTGTTCAAAAAAAAACCAATTATCTAGATTTGGTGCATATCTAACAATTTGGAATACTTATTTCGAAGAGATTAAAACACATATGGAATAGATGTTTCGAAGACTATAAGTGAAGGGTGAATGAAAAGGAAGGTAATTTAAGATTTTTTAAAATATGATAGGTGGGATAATCGTAAGGCGTGCAAGGGGCAATTACCCACAATGCAAGGCCCTATAGGCTCATTAAAACATTATAAAAAATATTAAATATAATAACATACAAAAAATATTATTATAGGTATAATATATATAGATATATACCTATTTGACATATAACTACATACAATTTTAATGTTGATTTTGAATGAAATTTAACAATATATTTTGTGTGTCATTGTAATTTATATATACATTTTTTAACAATATACCAACATATATTATATTTATTGTATGAGTAAAAATAATTTTTAATGACACATATTGTATCACTATAGAGTATGTGTCACTATATAAGCGAAAAACCTCCTAAATTCAATGACTATTTTCTTTCATCTTTGTATCAATACCACATGTAGGGTTGTAGTAAAAGGACCATTGCACTTTTACTTTGAAATAACAAATAATATTTGTTTCAAGTTTTCAACATACATGGAGATTTATCATTTCCTTTTTCTTAGTTATAATTTAGACAGGTTATTCCTGATATTTTATGGTCTCATGAAAAATAATAGATAAATTTTTCTTTATATATAAATATTTTAAAACATAAATATTTAATCTAATAAAAGAAATAGACACATAATTTTTAAATATTTTCAAACATAAACATTAATTCTAATTATCAAAAATGGATAAAAGATCCCTTATCATAAAATAAAACTTTTTATTGGCATAAAGCTAGAAAATAGTGCACGCTATTAAATAATTCAGTGAAAATTTAATTTTTAATTTCTCATGAGCTTGAAATTTGGGAATTGGGAAGCTAAATCGAGAAGGTGAGAAATTGAAATAGTGAGTTAGCGGTGAGTTATGTAACTGCTAAATAATTCTTTTCTTAAATATAAAAATTTAACATTTTTGGGGTTTTAAAATTCATGAAGTGGCGATAATCCAATTTTAGAATCTCAAGTAGTGTAACTTTAAAAGTTAAACATGTTGATACCACAATAATCTTAGGGGGTGTATTGATTTAGGATTTTGTAGGATTTTAAAATACTACACAAATTTTTGATGGATTTAATCTGTCAAAATTTGTGGCGGAATTTGTGATTCCCTCACAAATTTGTGAGGGATATGTGCCTCTTATTAATGCCAAAAGTTGAGAGGGATGTTGGCCTCTTAAGAGGGTTCTATTTCACGTTTGTGACGAAGTCACAAATTCCGTCACAAATTTGTGAGGGAATTAATCCATCACAAATTTGTGACGAAGTCACAAATTCCATCACAATTTTGTGACGGAAACAAGTTCCTCACTAAGTTTGTCACAATTTGTGTCGAAATTTTATTAATTTATGAACATTTAATATTAGAAATTAGTGACGAAATTTGTGATGCCTTAATTTTGTGACGGACTGAAATTATCCGTCACTAAATATTTTGTGACGCCAGTTTTTGTGAATATTTTTTTATCCAATAAGATATTTCTTTTTATTATTATATATATATATATATGTTGGGGTAGAGGGTGTCACAGGGGATGATAAAATTTACACAGTCAAATCAACGTACAAGGTCTTGCACTACCAGAAGTATGGGTCTGAACAACACTTCTTGATGACCTCAGTTTGGAAGCTAAATATCTCTCCTAAGGGGGCTATAATAGTATGGCGAATTTTCATGAATAGCCTTGCAACATGTGATAATCTGCTACAAAAGAACATCATACTGCCTGAAGTGGAGTGTATATGCAAATTCTGCAATGAAGAAACAGATTCTACGTCCCATGTATTGTTTACTTGTAAAGTCTCAGACTGGCTGTGGAAGAAGTGCTATAACTGGGCTTCCGTCTCAATAGTGCTCCCAACTTTTTCGACTCAACATTTTGGACAACTTCCTTATTCTAACCTATCCGCGACTATATCAAAGAGGTGGAGAGTTATCTTGTGTACTATTGTGTGGCTGCTTTGGGCAAAGAGAAATAATTGTCACTACTAGAAATGTTAAAATTAGAGAGGGAATGAATCCGTCACAAAATAGTATAAAATCCGTCACAAAACAAATTAGTGACGGAACTGATTTCGTCACAAAAACTGGCGTCACAAAATATTTAGTGACGGATAATTTCAGTCCGTCACAAAATTAAGGCATCACAAATTTCGTCACTAATTTCTAATATTAAATGTTCATAAATTAATAAAATTTCGACACAAATTGTGACAAACTTAGTGAGGAACTTGTTTCCGTCACAAAATTGTGATGGAATTTGTGACTTCGTCACAAATTTGTGATGGATTAATTCCCTCACAAATTTGTGACGGAATTTGTGACTTCGTCACAAATTTTTGATGGATTTAATCTGTCAAAATTTGTGGCGGAATTTGTGATTCCCTCACAAATTTGTGAGGGATATGTGCCTCTTATTAATGCCAAAAGTTGAGAGGGATGTTGGCCTCTTAAGAGGGTTCTATTTCACGACATTTCACTTTTTATCATGTTTTATCTTTACTTACACAATTTCTAGGAGATTTCCAAGAAGGTCACCCATCCCTATATTACTCCAAGTCAAGCACGCTTAACTGTGAAGTTCTTATGAAATAAGCTACCAAAATGAATATGCATGTTGTCGGTAAAACTTGTACAAATTAATTCATTTAAGTCATCCTCAACTTCCCTCACAAATTTGTGAGGGATATGTGCCTCTTATTAATGCCAAAAGTTGAGAGGGATGTTGGCCTCTTAAGAGGGTTCTATTTCACGACATTTCACTTTTTATCATGTTTTATCTTTACTTACACAATTTCTAGGAGATTTCCAAGAAGGTCACCCATCCCTATATAGTCCTTTAAAATCCTAATCCAATACACCCCCCTTAATTTGTAAGAGACTTTTACGATTGAATTCAATGTTTTACTTGAGTCAAATTTTCAACCCATCTAGTGCATTAAATGTGGCTTGATTTAATAATCAACATTTTCTCCTTTAAATCAAGCTTTTATCTTTTTAAGCAATTTCTTCAACTTGTAAGATAATTCAATTTTTAATGGCTTTGTCAAAAATCTACTATTTATTCTTTAATTAGATGATAAAATCTCTCCAATTCTTTATCTGCTATCAACTCCCATATCCTGTAAAACTGAATATCGATATGTTTGGATTGTCCATTAAAAATTTGATTCTTACTCAATGCAATAATAGACTTGTTACAAAATATTTCTAAGTATTATGAATATGGTGTATCACTTCTAAAATTCTCTTCCTTCATATTGCTTGCGTATCACAATTTGTTGTTGCAAGGTATTCAATTAGTGATAGAAAATGCAACAATCAA